CCCCTTTATAAAAGAAATTGTTTTTTGCCATATGTTTTCCTCTTGGTTACTTTATAAAGGGGCTTAACATGATTATACACCACTTTTACAGTAAAATCTATACCAAACTAAGCTCTTCAAAATGTCTGTTGAGATAAGGTATTTATAAAGCTGCTAACCACTTATCGCCATTTGATAAAAAATATAATTTGGGAAAAAAGGTATTGATGGCATTTTCTTTTTTAACTGACATTCCATTATTCAAAATAACTCTACCTTACATTTAGGTTGCACATAAGTATAAATACCTATTATTCAATGTTCAAAATAACTCTACCTTACATTCCATTACATGTTTTCTCTATTATTGCAGATTTCAGTACATTTATATGCGTAGTTCCATTTTTACCGTTGAATAACTATTATTCTAATTGTGTCAATAGTAAATTTATATTTATTTCATGATTTAAACATATATAAATTTAAATGAAATTTAAATATATTTGATGTATCCATATTCATAAATTTCAAAACAAACATTGTTTCGGTTAATTTCGTCCTACTCGCGTGATATAAACATTGCTTCATAGCTTCACTAGACCGTCCTATTCTAACTAGTGTGTACCCCGTGCGATGCACGGAAACAATATTAAATTAACAATATTATAAATAGACCTCGAGTTTGAGTCACTCAATGGCGGAAATGGAAACTACTATTGATCCTATTTAAAAAGACGAAGAAAAAAAATAAATTATAAATTAAAGAGGAGGATAAACAATACTTAATAATTATAAATTAATGATTCAGGGTCAAACAATGTAAAATTATTTTGTGTAAGAGAATATAAAAAAATTTGATTACACACCGTTTCAAAATTATTATTATACTTTTTTGTATGGTTAACTTATAATATTTGTAAAAATATTAGTAATAAGACCGATGAAAATTAACTTCTTAAAGTAGATAATGAATTTCTAGTAGTAATTATGAATTGGTTTCTATTTTATTTTATTTTTTCTTTTTAAAGATAATGGATTTCTAGTAGTAATTATGAATTGGTTTTTATTTTATTTTATTTTTTCAAATCTGTATAGATAAGAGATGAGATTTTTTAAACACGCAATGCGATTTCGTAACAGAAGAGATAAGCTCGTGTAGATTTATACTAAAAATAGGAAAAAGAAAAACAAATATTTATTGGCAAACAATGGTTTTGATAAACTAAAAAACAGGAAAACGAGAAACAAATCTTTACACAATTAATGAGCCGATTCTTTTGCCTACTCAGATTTGTCCAACAATTACTATATGTAGGATATATTTAATGATTTTATATAATCTATACTTATATTAAAGGGATTCTTATTTACTAAATTTAGTAGCTAGAAAAGTCAACAACATTTATTGCCATTACTATTTCCGTATTATACAGTTTTATTTAATATTTGTTCTTCTGTTACGATTTTTAAAAACATATATGGTCAAATTCTCTCATCATTAATTACTTTTCATTAATTAAAATTTATTTATTTATTATTTTCTTAACAAAAGCGGACCAACATTAATTGATTTCCTTAAAATGTGGAAGTTGTTGCTTTATTATTTTACAGAAAATTGGGCTTCATTATAGAAATTTGTTCAATTACACAATGAATTTTATATGATATAATTATTGTTTATGGGAACTTTTTTTTAACAGAAAAATATGACATTTCAATAAGATTTTTGATTTTTTAAGACTGATCGCTATCATGCTATGAAATTGAACATTCCAATATACCTTAACAAAAAATATACACGTGGTGTACATCTGTTAATAGAAATATAGAATCCTCATATATTTATATATACCTATGTAATTTTTCTATTACCAAATTTAATTGATAGTTGTTGTGTTTTGGGTTTTTTCATAATTGTTACTTGGTTGTTGTGATATTTAGTTTGGTTGGTGTCGCAAAAATTCTAATCTATATATATGATAAGAATAATCATTACAATGCAAATTAGAAAAATATTGATATTAGAAGAGGTTGAGTTCGTGCCTTTTCTTAAATCAAAGTTGTTTAATTAGTATACAAAATTAAATTCTAAAAAAATATATGTGTATATTTTGTACATTATTTATACACTATTTAATTTTAAATTTATTTACGTATTTTAAATTGATTACTTATATAAATAATACCAACGTGCATTAAATATATTTCATTACATAAAATAAAAAGAACAAGAAGACGTGTAACTTGTATAACTTTATAAATAATAATGACATTATATGGCAACAGAGTTTAATAATTAACTATTCTGTAGTGAATAAGAATAAGTAAATTTCTCTTATATCAAGGAATAAATATATATAATAAAATTAAATTTATATTAGTATAAATGTGTTAGTGAGATAATATATTAATTATTTTACAAGTTAGCCCTAACATGCTCACGTTTAATGTTCTGACTAATAAAACAACACTGATTAAAAGATGTGAAAATTGGTTACAACCCTATTTTTTTAGACTTAACGGTGATTAAAAGAAGTGGAAAATAGATGATTAACTCTTTTCAGATTTAAACGAGACTTAACGGTGATTAAATGAATTATTTTCAAATGGTCAACTTAAATTACCCAAATCAATAAACACACATAACTTCGCAATTAAGATCTATCACGCCATCCGAGGCATCAGCATCATCGTCATCATCGATGTATCATACATTGACTGTGTCACTAAAAACGAAAAACAAAATCTGCGCAAAACGACTATAAAGAAACAAAAAAAAAAAAATTAAAAAAATGGAGATTTTGAAAAATGAGGCTCCATATTCTTCTTCACTACTCACAAATCTTTATATCGGCCACTTTTTAGCCCGATGGGGTGCCAGGTTTTAATTTTACACTCCAATTAATAGTTACCAGCTTTTTATTATGATTTTTTTTTTTCCTTTTTTATTAATCATAAACAATTCTTATACAGAGTTTCAATTGAAGTGTATCGTCCCTAAACTGGGTTTCTTGATCCTTTTTTTTTTAAGTGAAGTAACATCTCAAGTGAAGGGAAAATTTTGATTGAGGTGCATGTATTTGTTTCGATTGTGTAATTTTTGAATGTTGATTTGCTGCACAACCCGTATTTCAAAAAATTTGTGGTTCACTTGAGGGGAATTTGAGTTTTAGTTTGAATTTTTGATGTATATTTTTGTTGTGTTTTCTTCAATTTGGGCTTTACAATTGTTTCGCAAGTTATGTTGATGTCAATTGAAGTCAGACTTTGTAATTTGTTTCGTTTTTGTTCAATTTTGGATTTTAAGGTTATTGCATAAGTTGTGTTGGTATCAATTGACATCGAACATTGTAATTTGTTTCGTTTAATGTTACTAAAATTTTTTGTTGTTTGGAAAAAATAAAAATAAAAAATATATACATATTTTGAAGATTCAAATCTAATTGGAAAATTTCATCTCTCGGCTGCCTAATGAATTTTTTTTTTTCTTCGTCGAGTAAAACAGAATGTGGGAATTTTCAGTGGCTTTGTACATGATCAAAGTGTGGCCTGAATCTTTACTTCTGGCGGCAGCTTATGGCTTGTCTGAATCTGCATCGATGGCAATATTCGGTCCTTTGATCGGGCATTGGGTGGATAATTTGTCGTACATTCAGGTTTGCTTCTCGATCATTTAAAAATCCTTATGAAAAATAAGCTTCATTATTACTATTATTATTATTTGTTTCGTTTTTCCTATGCAAACAGGTTCTTAAGATTTGGCTATTGAGCCAAAACCTCTCGTTTATAATTGCCGGGAGTGCAGTGATTGCTATACTAATCCATCCCGAATTTATGTCCACAAATCGCGTGCCGTTTTTCGCTTTCATTGTAATAATAAATATCTCCGGAGCCATTGGCGTACTCTCGACTCTAGCTGGAACAATCTTGGTCGAACGAGAATGGTGATAATAACTCACATTTTAATCTCTANAATCTTTTTAAAAGCCAAGTTAAAATGTCGATTATTTCGATTTTTACAGGGTGGTTGTGATATCCAAAAGCCAACCTCCGGGAATTCTTACAAATATGAACTCGTTAATACGTAGGATTGATCTAAGCTGCAAACTATTTGCTCCTGTGATAAGTGGATTCATCATAAGTTTTGTTTCACTAATGGCATCGGCTTTTGCGCTTGCACTATGGAATATATTATCCGTACACTTGCAATATCGGCTTTTAATCTCGGTGTACAATGGGATTCCGGGACTAAGAGAAGCCGATCAAAAAAGGGCTTCGAGATTCTCGGTTAGGGAAGTGGATGAAAAATTTAAATCCCTTTGGGAACGAAAAAGCTTGATTTTTTCGGATGAAAATGATCACGAAAGCATCTCAAGAGGGACTATAATCAAGCGGTTATTGAAAATTTCTTATATAAGTGCGTGGAGATTGTATATCGAGCAAGACATCGTTCTCCCGGGACTTGCTCTTGCTTTGCTTTACTTTACCGTGCTTAGGTAAAATCGAATTGAACAAAATGAGCAAAAAAAAAAAAAAAATGATATGTTTTCATTCTTATGTCGAAAAAGATTTTTGTTGTAGCTTCGGAACATTAATGACGGCTTATTTGGAATGGGAAGGCATTTCCGCTTACGTCATTGGCACGGGACGTGGATTTAATGCTATAGTCGGGATATCCGCCACTTTTCTTTATCCCATTTTGCAATCTCGTATTTCGACTCTCATAACAGGTCTTTGGTCAATTTGGTCTCAGGTACATTTCCTTTCAGTCGTTTTTTCTTCACGTTTATTTTCATTCGTGAAGAGTAAATGTGTGTTTTTTTTTAATTTATTTATTTTTTTACGAAATTTGCAGTGTATTTGTCTCTTGTTGTGCGTAGCTTCCGTGTTTGTAAAGGATAAACTCGTGTCGGCATACATGTTAATGGGTGGAGTCGTGTCTTCACGGCTCGGTTTATGGATGTTCGACTTGTCGGTCATTCAACAAATGCAGGCATGGATTTTACAAAACACTCGATTTTCTTTACATCCGACTAAAATCGCTCGACTTTCTTCTCTATATTATGTGTGTACGTGTACAGGATCGAGTTGCTGAACCTGATAGATGTATTGTGGGTGGCGTTCAAAACTCGCTTCAATCGATCCTCGACTTGATGACTTACATTATGGGCATCGTAATTTCTAATCCACAGGTTCTTACGCTTAAATTTTTCATATTCGTGAAACGAACATTTTGCTTCATTTGGCCATGGTTTTTCGACTTAATTTTTTGGTGGTTCGTTGTGTTAGGATTTCTGGAAGTTGATAGTATTGTCGTTCGGGTGGATGACATTGGCAGCGGCATTGTACAGTCTGCATATATATCGTTTGCGAAAGCTTCTTTAATAAACGAGACAGATGGCTTGGCTTGGCTTGACTCAATTGATACTTAAACAAAAATATGAGCTCGACTCAGCTCGTATAAGCTAAATTGAAAGTTTATGTTTCGGTTTTAGACAATCAGTCATTATATTGTAACTTAACCATAACATAGACCAGTGTTCACAATCTCGACGCAGCCACGACTTTAATAAACAAGCTCTCAAACAGTTTTCAAACTTGGCACGTTTGAAAATAATAAAGAAGTGGAGCTCGAGCTTTCACGAGTCAAATTAAAGTGTTTTTGCAAATAGTTGGATACAAGTAACAAATCTAGCCAATCTAGTAATTAGAAACGATTTTGAAACCTCCAAAGTATAATACTTCTACAATGACATAGTTGGAGCTCCCGATTTTGTGTGATCACAGAGATGAGGCCTTGTAAGAAATCACTTTAAAAAATAACATAACCAGTTTCATAGCATAAATGAACATTATTGTTAGAAAATATGATGAGTATTTGTCTAATGATTGACTGACTCCAAGAATTTTTGCTATACATATAAAAATATTTTTTAAGTTAATATTTTATACAACAAAGTAATACTATTTTAATATCTTTTCAATAACAACCGTCTCAAAGTGTACATAATAAAAATGATATTTCACTATAAAGTCAAAATAACTTGTCTAGCTAACCATCAACCATTAGGTAAATTGACAACAAATTTTAGCAAAAAAACATAGTTTTCTTATTATATCCAAGTGAAGTGACATGTTGTAAATTATAAGAGCAACACTTTCATGTATTTATTTCCATCACCTACCCAAAATTAAATGAAATTAAGAAAATTGTTAAACTCCATCTAAGCTCAGAACTTGTAGCTCCAAATTCTTATTAGAATAGAAAGTCAGACAGCATGAGCTGTGGACTGTGAGGTGCATCATCTTCTCGATAAACGCTATATATGAAAAAATAGCTAATAAAACGACGACGTTGCATGCAGCTGAGCATCAGCTCTCCTCGGGCAAAACTTAAAACAACGCGATTCTTTTGAATAACAGAGCAAAACGAAGAACAAGAAAGTGTGTAATAAAAATGATGAATCAGCCATTGTTGGATCAAGAAGAAGAACAAAGACCACCTTTTTCTTCAACTCTGCTTGTAAATCTGTATGTGGGCCACTTTTTAGCCAGATGGGGTGCCAGGTAAGTTTCATAATTTTTTTTAATTAAAATTTGTCACTTGTTTAGTGTTGTTTTCTGTTGCGTGTTGGGGTTCTTAGTTCTTGATCTGTGTATTGTTTTTGTTTTTCACTAGGAATTTAAGTGTCTGAAATTTGTTGGGTTCTTCTTTGTTTTCGATTTTGATGTTATTTTTGCTGTTTTTTTGGATGTTGTTTTTTGATATAGAGCTGTAAACTAGTCGAGTCGAGCTTATACTCAAATCGAGTCAACAATTGAGCTTGAGCTAGACCCGTTTATCAAAATTAATTAGCCGAACTCTAGCCTTAACAAGGGCTAGATTCATAAGCGTCAATATTTTCATACATAATATGTAGTTCACTCTGTTTTGTGCTAGGCAACAGTTAAAAATTTAAATTCTGTACTGTATATACTAAATTTGTTGAGGATTTTTTTTTTTTCTTTTGCTCAATAAGAACAGAATGTGGGAATTTTCAGTTGGTTTGTACATGATCAACGTTTGGCCGGACTCTTTACTTCTAACAGCGGCTTATGGTATAGTCGAATCCTCATCCACCGCCTTACTCGGGCCTTTAATCGGGCAGTGTGTGGATAAATTTACATATGTTCAGGTTCGTTTAATATCCGATTAGATATTTAATTGGTTTTTGCCATCATTTGGAGTTCGATGATCGATTTGCCTAACGAATCTCGATTTATTTATTAAGAATTTTTTTATTTTTTTGTTCGGGTATATGAAAAGGTTCTCAAGATTTGGCTATTTAGCCAAAATCTATCGTTTATGCTAGCCGGGGGTTCGGTAATTGCCGTATTAACCAATCCCGATTTGATATCCGTAAATCGTGTGGCATTTACAGCTCTTGTCCTGTTAATTAACTTTTCGGGAGCAATTGGCGTGCTCTCGACTCTAGCCGGAACAATCTTGATCGAACGAGAATGGTGAGAATTAAAAGCACGTATTTAATCGAACCCGAGTTTTATATAGTCGATATATTTGATAATCGTATCGTTTTCTTTTTTTTTTATATATATATATATATATAGGGTGGTTGTGATATCCGAAGGCCAACCTCCGAGAATCCTCACGAACATGAACGCGAACATACGAAGAATCGACTTAACGTGCAAACTATTAGCTCCGGTAGCTTCCGGATTCATCGTTAGCTTCATATCGTTAACTAGCTCTGCTGTAGCACTTGTACTTTGGAACACATTGTCCGTTTTCTTGCAGTATTTGCTGTTGATGTCCGTTTACAACGGAATCCCCAAATTAGAAGAAGTCAGCCAAAGGCGGGCCCACAAAAGAGAAAGCTCGATTTTTCCGGGACCCGATCAGCCCGAAACGAGCTCCAACCGAGCCATTATCAGCCGGTTTCTAATAAATAACCCGTACATTAGCGCGTGGGGATTGTATGTTAAGCAAGATTTTGTTGTACTCCCGGGACTTGCTTTAGCCTTGTTGTACTTCACCGTTCTCAGGTAAATATAACGAACAAAGTTACCAAGAAAAAAAAAATCCGAAAAGTGACATTTTGGTTGTGCTGATAGGCCTGTAAACGAGCCGAGCCTGAAATCGAGCTCGACTCGTTTATCACAAATAATGAGTCGATTTCGAGTCTTAACGAGCCGATCTCGAGTTTTAACGAGTCAAACTATAGAAATATTCTCTTTTCGAGACTTAACGAGTCTTATCGAGCCGAGTCTAGCTCGACTTGTTAACCAAATGAAGTTCAAATAAGCTCGAGCTCAGCAGCTCGTTTATCAGATGAGCCGAGTCGAGCCAGATACGTTTAATTTAACAGCATTCACTCGTGCGTATTGGAAAATTTGTGACTTGAAAGTCGAATTATTCTCGTTCGAAAAGAATGACAAGGCAATTTTTGATAGCTTTGGGACGTTAATGACGGTTGCTTTAGAATGGGAAGGCATAGAAGCTTACATTATCGGGACAATGCGTGGGATTAGTGCTGCGGTGGGGATATTAGCGACTTTTGTATACCCGATTATGGAGTTTCGTATTTCGACACTTAGGACGGGACTCTGGTCGATTTGGTCTCAAGTAAGTACTTTATTTTCATTATATTTCGTCGGTTTTTTTATATATATTTAATTTTATTTTGTTTTTTTAACTTTTTTTTGTTTTATTTCCTCTTTTGAACGTTTTTTTACGTGTTAGTGGACGTGTCTCTTGCCATGTGTGGCCTCGGTTTTCGTCAAGGAGAAAAGGCTCGTTTCGGCATATTTGCTTATGGGAGGAGTGGCTTTGTCACGGCTCGGTTTGTGGATGTTCGACTTGTCGGTCATTCAACAAATGCAGGTACGAAACACGACCTAATAACCAAGTGTTCGAAGTAAATAGAATTACAAATTTTATGTTATGTTAGATTCTTGAAAGATTTTACTTGATTAATATTGTTTAAATATATATATATAGGATCATGTAGCCGAATCCGATCGATGTGTCGTTGGAGGCGTACAAAATTCGCTCCAATCCATGCTCGATTTGATGACTTATGTTATGGGATTACTAATCTCGAATCCACAGGTTATTGTTGTTATTGTTGTTCAGTCGAGTTTAGTCGAGTCGAACCAAACTTTAAAAATTCGAGCTCAAAAAGCAGTGAAAAAAAAAAAAAATTTATTGTCCAATTTTATTTTTTTTTATTTTTTTGTGTTTGTAGGATTTCTGGAAATTGACAATGTTGTCATTCGTGGTGGTGACGTTAGCGGCTGCACTGTACAGTCTCCATATTTATCGTGTCCGAAAGCATTTACTTCATCTGGACAAGCTTTTCTCATTCATTCAAAGGGCTCCCACGTTATCTTGAGGTTGTTTAAAATTAATTAAGTTAATTCACAAACAATTTTGATTTTTGAAACCACCAAAACTAGAAATGTAGGGAATGGGGATAAGTTTTTCAAAATGTAGGTGTTTTATTTCATTTGATGATTTAATGAATGATACGTGCACATGATGATGTCATATTTATACATATAATATTTGTTTATCTAGCGGAATTAAAAACGAGAGGGAATATATAAATTAAACAATAAATCTTGATTTCTTTTCCAACGAAACCCCTCATATGACAATCAATTTTGCGAGATGTAATTATGTTCATTAATTATTACTTGAAATGTACAAGTAGAGTTGTTTGCTCTTAATCTCAGTTCGACTCGACTTGTTAAAACTCCAAAATAGATATTTTTTTTAATTTTTTTTTTCGTTTGACTCGTTAATTCTTAAAATCTGCTCTAACTCGGATCATTAATATTGATTAATAGGCCAAGCTTGAGCTTGTTTAGTTAACGAGGGGAGTTTCTCTCAGCTCGACTTGACCCGATAAAACTTCGAATCAAGAGCTCGAGCTTAGACTCCACTAGTTTACACCTTAAAACATGTGTACCAACTACTAGATAAGTGGATAAAATAAAGAGTTGAGATTCATTTGGTAGATTTTGGAGAAGTTTATTTTGAATATGAAAGAGTTATATTTTTGGCAATGAAGTTCAAAAATTAATATAAGTGAAGATATATTCTTGCAAGCATGAGAAATAAAAAGGGAAGTTCTTTTATTTAATTTATATTTATATATTCGAATATATTTATATTTATATTTATATATTCGATTTATATACATATATATTAGATTTATATGATCTTATTATGGATATATTTTGTAGGAAATCATATAAGAAGGAAAGAGAAGATAGAGATCTACACCTACCATATCTCTTTGGATAAACTTGGAAGGAAATCAAAAACAAAAGGAGTCCTATACTTGGAGAACACTCCACATCCTAGGGATTGTATATATACCTGCTTGAAGAA